AGCCAAGGATTTAAAGAAGCCACATTCATCCATGTGGGTAGGAGGGGTGGAGTTACAGGCGTGGAGAGGCGCTGAGACATAGTACGGCATGGAGAGGTGTGCAGTGGCAGAATGGACATTCCCACATTCATGTGTGGTGGATAAAAATTGGGAGGGATACCTCAGGAGCAAGGGATACCTCGGGAGCAAGCGATCCCAGCCTCAGGCCAGACCATAGAGCTCAGGGTTCCAGCACTGGGAGATAAATCCCCATAACTTCTGGCTGTAAAAGTCAGTGGAGGTTGGAGCAGTGGAAGAAACGGCCAGGTTTTTAGGAAAATTTGTTTAAGGGGCCTGCATGGATTTACATGGGGAAACCTCCAGGAGCCAGGCAGCAGCATTGTCCCCTCTCTGAGCCCTCCCACCACACAGAGCAACAAAGTGGTGAAGCCGTTTAACCCCACCTGGCAATTACCTAAGGCTCCACCCTACACAATTTACAGGTGCCTTTTACAGGGAGTCAAAAGCCCCTCTACATAAAACACAGAGAGGTTGCCAAATTGAGAAGACAAAGAAATATAGCCCAAATGAAAGAACAAGCCCCAGAAAAAGAACTAAACAGAATGGAGATAACCAACCTATCAGACACAGAGTTCAAAACACTGGTGAACAGGATGCTTAAAAACCTCACTGAGTACAGCAAAAACATAAGGGAAGAAATGAAGGTTACACTAAGTGAAATAAAAATCTACTGGGAACCAACAGTAGAAGGGAGGAAGCCAAGAATCAAATCAACAATTTGGAATGCAAGGGAGGAAAAAACATTCAGTTAGAACAGCAAGAAGAAAAAAGAATTCAGAAAAAACGAGAACAGGCTTATGAACCTCTGAGACAACTTTAAACATACCAACATCTGAGTCATAGGGATGCCAGAAGGAGAAAAGGAAGAGCAAGAAATTGAAGACTTAGTTGAGAAAATAATGAAAGTATTACTAATCTGGTGAAGGAAATAGACATATGAGTCCAGGAAGCACAGAGACCCCCCAAACAAGTTGGACCCAGAGAGGACCACATCAAGACATATCATAATTAAAATACCAAAAGTTAAAAGATAAGGAGAGAATCTTAAATGAAGCAAGAATGAAGCAGAGTTACCTACAAAGGAGTTCCCATAAGACTGTCAGCTGATTTCTCAGAAACTTTACAGGCAAGAAGGGACTGGCAAAAAGTATTCAAAGTGATGAAAAGCAAGGACCTACAACCTAGATTACTCTGCGCAGCAAGGCTGTCATTTAGAATGGAAGGGCAGAATCAGTGCTTTCCAGATAAAAACCATGAACATTAAGAGGGCAACAAACTCACAACTGTCAACAGCTAAATCTAAAAAAAAACCAAACAACCAGAACAGGAACAGAATCATAGATAAGGAGATGATCTGAAGGGTTATCAGCTGGGAGGGTGAAGGTGGGGGGGGGGAATGGGGTGAAAGGTGCAGGGATTAAGAAGCATAATTGGTGGAAACAAATTAGACAGGGCCATGTCAAGAATAGTATAGGAAATGAAGCCAAAGAACTTATATACATGACCCATGACATGAACTAAGGGTGGGGGGATTGCTGGAGGGAAGGGGGTTACTAGGTGGTAGGGAGCAAAGGTGGAAAAAACTGGGACAACTGTAATAGCCTAATCAATAAAATATATTTTAAAAATAATAAAGGCATCTCTAGCTGTGTAATATATTAGTGTTCATCTGTAGTGGGTTGACTTCAGAAAAAGATTTCCCGTGCTAGCGATTGCTGCTTTGTCTCATAAGTGGTGCTCACTGCCAGGCATAGGTTGTTCCTCTAGGTCATTTCTTACTTTATGGCATGTAGACTGGGTCAACTGTGGGTATGTGAAGAATTGGGGGCTTGTCTGAATCTCTTTTCCCGGTCATTCAAGGAGATCATGTCAGCTGTGGCAGTGGCAAAGGTAGATCTGGAAACTCAAAATTTTAATTCAGGAGCGGAGGTGATTGGAATTAGTTGAAAACATCTGTTTCTGAATAGACTGCTTTTTCCCTATATTTCTTGCTAGTTTCTTAAAAGAATTCTGTGGGGGCTTTGGAGTAGAATAGTCATAGAGAACCCAGAGAATTGAAATAGAAGAATTTTTTTTCTTCATGTTTTATTTTCAGTTTGTGACCCATTCCCCCCACTCCATGATAAATGGTCTGATTATGAGAATTTACTTTTTTTTTCTTTTTTAGAATTTACTATTTTAATCAATTTTTAAAGCCTAGTGTGTTCAATACCTGGCAAAGAAATGCTAGGCTTAGTTTTGAAAGCATCACCAGAAGGTGTTTCCCCTGGAGGGGAGTTAGCTGCTTGTTTCTTAAGTGAGTTCTGACACCGTCCCCCATGGGAACCACCTAGCTAAAGTGCTGTCCAGTTCTTTGTGGTTGGAGCAAAAAGCCCTGTTGGCCAGCCGGCCTATAAGGGGATTACACTGGGAGGAGTTGGCATTTTGAAGACCTTCACAGTCATGTTTCTCATCAAATCCTTCCCATCTATAAAGTTTCTTGGTTTTATAGAACCTTTGGAATATTTGCCTTTTCCTTTCATCATTCCCAAGGCATCAAGAGACACGTTTAATTGGTTACTCCTTTAATCACAAGGAGATTTCGATCACCCCTTTAAAGAGTTCAGAGCTAAACCTCTCCAGTGGATTGCTAAACTTGTTCGATCTTGAAGGCTTGGCTTGGTACACATGGTCACCTATCTGTGCCTGTGGGTTTTCCTGGGTCCTAATTTCTTTCATTAATCACCTTGCTTGGGAGTAGTTCTTCCATGGGTTAATTAATGAAGTTGAGTACCCTATCTTGAAACTTTCCTGTCATTTGTAAGTTATAGTCCCTGGTAGTTATGTTATTTTGACTTTGGTTTTGTGGGGGTCAAGAACTGGGATTTTGGCCTGGCTGGTGTGGCTCAGTTGGTTGGAGTACTGTTCACTGGAAAGTCACTGGTTTAATTCCCGGTCAGGGCACATGCCTAGGGTTCGGGTTTGATCCCCAGTTGGGACACGTGCAGGAGGCAGTTGATCACCGTCTCTCTCTCACATTGATCTTTCTCTCTTTCTCTCTCTCTCTCCCCCTCTCCTTATCCTTCCCCTCTCTCTGCAATGAGAATGAAAAATAAGCTTTAAAAAACAAAAATTGGGATTTCCTTGGGATAGCTTTTTGGGTGTAGCTATTGTTCCTGAGTTTTGGATTCATTCATTTATTCAATCATTCCACACATGAGGACATTTTTTAATTGATTTTAGAGAGGGAGCTGGAGAGAGAAACATCAGTACGAGAGGGAAACGTCAATCATCTGCCTCTTGTGCGTACTTCGACCAGGGACCAAACCTGAAACCTTTAGGCATGTGGGACCTTGCTCCAACCTAGTCCATTGGCCAGGGCCTGAGTTTTGGTTTTATCTTTGCCCCCTACTTTAATATCTTAGGGTAAGACAGCTCACTGGCTTTAGTCTCGTTTGTACGATGAGGATCACTTACACACTGTAGTAGATGGGTAGCTGTATATATTTTTTTGGTAACTTGATAAGTAGCTAAATTCTTACATGGTATTTATGCTGTGATAAGATTCCAGTGATGTGATTATTTCAGGGGCCAGTAATTTATGGCCCACGAGTCAGATATGATCTGTGGTCTGTTTTTGTGTGGCCCGTGAACTAAATAGTTTTTTCATATTTTAAATGTAAAGGTTGAGAGAATGAGACAGGACACAGACTGAGAAAAAATATTTGCAAAATGTACATTTGATAAAGGACTGTTATCCAAAATATACAAAGAACTCTTAAAACTTGACAATGAGAAAACACAAGCAACCTGATTGAAAACTGGGCAAAAGACGAACAGACACTTCACCAGATATACAGAATGCAAGTAAGCGTATGAAAAGGTGTTCAGTTTCCTTTGTCATTAGGGAATTGCAAATTAAAACAACAAGAGGCCACCACACACCTATTAGAATGGCCAAAATCTAAAACGCGGGCACACTAAACACTGGTGAGAATGTGGAGCAGCAGGAGCTCTCCTTCATTGCTGGAGGGAGTGCAGAATGGTGCAGCCACTTTGGAAGACCGTTTGGCAGTTTATTACCATGTGATCCAGCATTCACGCTCCTTGGTACCTACTCAGATGAGCCGAAGAGTTATGTCCACACAGCTTTATTCATAAGTGCTAAAGTTGGAAGCAGCCAAGATGTCCTTCAGTAGGTGAATGGATAAGTAAACTGTGGCACATCCAGACAATGAAATAGTATTTGGCGCTAAAAAGAAATCAGCTATCAAATCATAAAAATACATGGAAGAAGGTGAAGGAAGACAGTTCGCAAAGGCTGCCTATTATGATTCTAACTATATGACAGTTTGGAAAAGGCAGACCTGTGGAGACAAAAAGATCAGTGGTTGACAGGTTGGGGGGAAGGAGGAATGAATACACAGCACAGGTTATTTTTAGAGCAGTGAAATGGTTCTGTATGATACTACAGTTGTGGGTAGTTGTCTGTATACTTTATCCAAACCCATAGAATGTGCAATACCAAGAGTGAGAACCCTAATGTAAACTATGTACTTGGGGTGATAATGAGGTGTCGATGTAGGTTCCATTGTAACAGATGTACCCTGCAGGCTATAGATAGTGGAGGAGGCTGCGCATGTGTGTGGTGGGAACAGGTAAATGAATGCTGTCTGTACTTTCTGTTGCTTTTGCTGTGAACCTAAAATAAATAAAGTTTATTCATTTGAAAAACGCCATAGCAAAAATAACATGTGACAGAGATTATATACAGCCTACAGAGCCTACAATATTTATTATCTGGCCTTTTATAAGAAAAGTTTGCTAAGCCCTGGACTCCGTCGTAGTGGAGCTAGGAAATGAGGTGCTAGTTTCTCTGGTGTCATGCCCCATCCCCTAGTTCTCCTGATACTCAGTGTCTTTAATGGCAAAGTTCTCATCAATATCTATTTCATTTGCAGGTATATGAGTGACCTAAAGCTGCAAATTAAAACAGAGAGAGAGCAGTGCCAACTGCGAGCAGGGAAAGGATGCCAATTCCTCCTCCCCCTCCGCCCCCTCCTGGTCCTCCTCCACCTCCCACTTTTAATCAGGTAGGTAATCATTCCACTTGGCCATCTCAAAACTTTAGTGGATATTTACATTTACATGGTACAAGACATGCTACCGTACTCAAAGACCTGTGGTGCAGGAAGATGGAGAATAAACAAGTCAAGCCTGCCCTTATCAACGAGTCTGATTCCTGAGAGGTCCTCCTAGGACCATAATGACTTCTTGTGTTCTTGTTCTGGTTCAGTCTGGAGATTTGGACAGGTGGCATCAGAGAGGAACTGGTGTTCTCCCCCTAAAACTATTTGTTCTAAAAAAGGTCAGTGCGTCATTTCTCTGGCATCTTTGAGAAAAGGGATGGCCGTTTCTGGTGGTTGTTTCTTGGTACCATTTCTTCTCTTCTTCCTCTCCAAATCAGTTCATTTTAAGCCAAGTCCATGAAATCTAACACCCCATCAAGAAATAAGGGAGTTTGTAGAGTATATTAGTAAGAAGACTTAAAGTTTTGATAATGAGATTTTAAAAAACTGTGGCTTCTGAACCCAGGAGGCAGCCACTTTTATTGTATTTGGATGGTGTCACATGAGAAAGAAGCAACCCAGGTGCTTTACCTCATTTTTGTAAAATTTAGAAGCAAAAGTCAGTCTAGAGAATGAATGACTTCCGCAGAGGGGTATGTGGGTGTGTTCGGTGTTTGACAAATGAGAAGTTGTGCTTACAGAGGACAGGCGCCTGGCCTGGCTAATCTGTGTCTGACCTAGGGCAAGAGTTCGGGTCTGCCAGCTTGTGTTTTCCTATAACTTCTGTGTTTCAGACATTTTGTTTGGGAATATGTATGAACCCCTTTTTGGGTGAAATTTTATGTGGAAGCCCAGTGAGTAAAGATAAAAGCAGAACTGTTTTGGTTATAGTGGGATTCAAGGACCCAAAACACTTCCTTCGATCTCTATAACCTCTTGGATTAATGTCCTGCATCATGCTATTTTAGTCATTCACTCAGTAGCCTTTCGTCAGGGACTTGGCTAGGCATATGTGTATGTGTGTATAAATAGTTAAAAGAGAAGGAAAATATGCAAATGAACAAAAAGATGCAAATAAAAATCATCTGTACTGCCATTGCCCAGAAATGAGATAGTTTCTGCCTTCAAGGGCCCCCAGCACAATGAGCAGGACAGAAAAGTCAATAAGGCAGAATCTGTGCTAGGCACGGATGAATGGTGCCACAAAGTCCGACACCTCACCTAGTGGGTGGAGAGAGAGGATGCTGTCAAAGGAGGCTTCTTAGCGGGTAAATGATGCTTGAGCTGAGTCTTCAAGATGAGTGAGGTTTAGCCAGAAAGGGAAGAAGTGGGGAGGATACTTGAAGACGCAGAAGCAGAATGCGGAAGAGTGCCGATTTGTGAGAAAGCACACAGAAGTTTAGATTATTGCTTGAGAAGGGCGTATGGTGGGAGGTGAAGCTGGAGGTGTAAGCTGAGGGTTAGGCTTTTTCTCCCAGCAATGATAGGGAGGTGTCGAAGTATTTACAGGAACAGGAGTAACCTGATCGAGTTTGTATTAGAAAGATCACTCTAAATAGTGTGCACAGTGGGTTGGGAGTTGAGACAAGGAAGTCAAGACTGGAGCGAGAAGCCAGATGCAACTGAAAATTGAGGGCCAGGACTGAAGCAGTGAGGATGGAGAGTGGAGATGAAAGACACTTAGAAATGAAAGCCGTAAAGACTTTGATGACAGATGGAAGATGAAGAGGAGAGAGATAGAATGACTGGCTCTGGTTTGGGGGTTGACTGAATAAAGGGGCACCCAGGTGTTCCCAAATGCAAAATGATGGTGCTGTTTGTGGAGGAGTTATAGCCTTAATTTTGATGTGCTTAGTAATTTTTTTTTACTCCTCACCCAAGTGTATGTGTATTGATTTTTAGAGTGAGCGAAAGGGAGAGAGATAGAAACATCGATGTGAGAGAGAAACATCAATTGTTACCTCCCGTACGTGCCCCAACTGGGGATTGAACTTGCAACCTAGGTATGTGCCCTGACTGGGTATGACTGGGTATAGAACCTGCAACCTTTTGGTGTATGGAATGACGCTCCAACCAGTGAGCCACCAGGTCAGAGCAGTACTTTTTTAATAATATTTTTTTCTCTTTTTATTATATTTTTTTCATTACCCTTTAGGCCCCTTATACCCCATTCTCCCTTCCACAGTCACCACACTGTTGTCCATGTCCATGAGTTCTTTTTCCTTTTTGCTCAATCCCTCCACCCCAATCTTCCCTCCCTGTTAGCTGTCATCCTGCTCTCTGTCTATGTATTAGTCTGTCTCTGTGTTGCATGGTAGTTGCAGTTTGTTCATTAGAATCCACATATGAAATCATATGGTATTTGTCTTTCTCTGACTGGCTTATTTCACTTAGCATAATGTTCTCCAGGTCCATCCATACCGTCACAAAGGGTAAAATTTTCTTCTTTTTTACAGCTGAGCAGTATTCCATTGTGTAAATGTCCCATAGTTTTATCCACTCATCTACTGATGGACACTTGGGCTGCTTCCATATCTTAGCAATTGTAAATAACGCTGCAATGAACATAGGGGTACTTACGTTCTTTCACATTAGTGTTCTGGGTTCTTTGGGATATATTGCCAGAAGTGGGATTGCTGGGTCAAAAGGCAGATCCATTTTTAATTTTTTGAGGTATCTCCATACTGTTTTCCACAGTGTCTGCACCAGTCTGCATTTTCACCAACCATGTTAAAAGGGTTCCCCTTTGTCCACATCCTCCCCTAGCACTTGTTTGTTGATTTATCGATGAGAGACATTCTGACAGGTATAAGATGGTATCTCATTATGTTTTTAATTTGCATTTCTCTCATGATTAGTGATGTTGAACATCTTTTATATATCTATTAGGTATCTGTATGTCCTCTTTGGAAAAGTGTCTTTTCAGGTCCTTTGTCCATTTTGTAATTGGGTTGTTCATTTCTTTAGTGTTGAGTTTTGTAAGTTCTTTATAAATTTCGGATAATAACCTCTGATCAGATGTGTCAGTGAATATGTTCTCCCAGTGTGGGTTTTTTATTTTGTTGATGACTTCCGTTGTTGTGCACAAACTTTTTAGTTTGATGTAGTCTTATTTGTTTATTTTTTCTTTTGTTTCCCCTGCCTGGGGAGATGTATCTGATAAAATACTGCTATGAGCAGTGTTTTGCTGCCTATGTTTTCTTCTACAGTTTTTATGGTTTCAGGTCTAACATTTAAGTCTTTAATCCATTTTGAATTTATTCTTGTGTGTGGTATAAGAATGTGGTCTAGTTTCATTTTTCTGCACATACCTGTCCAGCTTTCCCAGCACCATTTATTGAATAAACTATCTTTAGCCCATTGTATGTGCGTACTTCCTCTGTTGAATATTAATTGATGGTAAAGGTTGTGGATTTATTTCTGGGCTCTCTGTTTTGTTCCATTGATCTGTCTGTCTAATAATTTTCTCATTATAAACGTAATATGTTCAAGAAATTTATGAACTGTGGATAAACGAAAAGGAGCAATTACCCATAATCCAGTCATGCATAATAGTTTTGTGTATACCCTTTTACTACCTCCTTCCCTTTGTATCTTCCTACTTAAAAAAAAAAAGGAGATTGTGTTTTATATACACACTGATCTGTTCTTCTTACTCATTAATACATCGTGAATGGTCATGTTATTAAGTAGTAATTAAAATTTTTTTTTACTATACTAGAAATGTGGGGGAAAATTAGAGAATACCAATAAACAGACAGTGTTAAAGTATCTATAATTAACTTTTGTTAACATTTTGTATGTCTTATATATTTATTGTAGGAAAACTAGAAAATATGGATAAGCATAAATAATTACAAGAAGTTAACTTTTGGTAATAGCAATGTGTGTTCTTCCAGAAATTTGCTATGGGTGTGTTTTTTCTTCCAAATGTAATCTAGGTGTAGTTTATTGAGCTTTCATTATATACCAGGCACTATCCTAAGCTCTTGAAAAGTGTTACCTTTTATGTGCTGGCCCGGCAAGGCAGTTGGTTAGAGTGTCATCCACATACGCCAAGGTTGTGCATTTGATCCCTGGTCAGGGCACCTGCAAGAATCAATCAGTGAATGCGTAGTTAAGTGGGACAACAAATCGATGTTTCCCTCTCTGTGTCTCTTTCTCCCTTCCTCTCTCTACAATCAATTTTTAAAAAGTATTATCATTTAATTCTGTGAGGTAGGTTCTATTGTTACTCCTATAGAAGAGAAAATGTGAATCATACTATATTATTTTAGAATATTTTTTACTTGGTTGTGGCAAACATTTACTGCCATGAAAAGATATTTACTTATACTTTTTAAAAAGATTTTGTTTATTTATTTTTAGAGAGAGGGGAAGGGGGAGAGAAAGAGAGGGAGTAAAACATCAATGTGTGGTTGCCTCTCATGTGCCCCCTACTAGGGGACCAAGCCCACAACCCAGGCATGTGCCCTGACTGGGAATTGAACCTGCCACCCTTTGGTTCACAGGCTTGTGCTCAATCCACTGAGCTACACCAGCCAGGGCAGTATTTACTTAGTACTTTTAAGAGTATGGTTATCATTGTTCTTTTTGGTGGAACTTATAGATTATTTTCAGTTTTATGCTATTAAAAATCATTTCTTTGCTACATTATTAACATCTCTATGCACTTATTCAATTATTTTTCTTAAAGTTAATTTCTACAAGTAGAATTCTTGTGCTTGACTTTTAAAGGTGTTTAATACATAGGTTACTTTCTAGAATGATCATACCAGTTTATCTTACTGCAGGTAGTACCAAAGTGAACCTGTTTCCCTCAGTCCTTTTGACCACCATAGGGCGGTTATTTGTTCTGCACATTTTTTGAACATCTGCAGTGTGCGGGCACTGTACATCGTTGCCCACTGTGGTTCCTGCCCTCAAGAAGCCAGCAGTCTCTTTAGTTAAAATTTTAATAACCTTTACCAGTGTCATAGGTAAATAATGATACTGTGTTTTTCCCTGCATTTTTTTAGTTGATTTTTGTTTTCATATTTGCTGGCTCTTTGATTTCTTTTACACAGTGTTGTTCATATTCTTCCATTATTTTCCTGTTGATTTCTAAGTCATCTTTATATGTTAATGCTCTGTGTAGCAGGGGTGTCAAACTCATTTTTGCAAGGGGCCACATCAGCCTCGCAGTTGCTTTCAATAGGCGGAATGTAATTGTAGGACTGTGTAAATGTAACTAACTGCTCCTTAACAGTGAAGCGAGAGCTCGGCTCTGCCGCCAGGTAGAGACAGGGTGCTGGCCGAATAAAACAAGGTGGAGGCCGGACTTAGCTTGCGGACCTCGTGTTTGCCACTTGTGCTCTATAGACTTAGGACACTGCCTTTGCATCTTTCATATGTTACATTTGTCACATATGATTTCTTTCCAGTATATCATCTGTTTATTTACTCATATTTCTAATAAATAATTTTTACTAAGCAAATTTATCTATTCCTGTATTTTAGTTGTCATGCTTAAAATGCACTTAGCTCTTTTTTCATTTAGTTGTTTTTATACTTCAATATAGCTAGAATTCGTTTGAGAGTAAGCTGAGGTAGGTGTCTAACTTTATTGTATTTTTCCAAAAATTGCTAGTTGCTATTAACATATTGTATTTAATAATCTATCCTCTCTGATGAAATATGCTTTTATTATTTCATATATAGATTTGGGTCTGTCTGTTTTGTCCCATTTATCTAGCTGTGTGTCCCGGTGTTCCTGTCGTAGTTGGTCTTAAGGACGCTGGTAATTTGAGATTTAAATGAGACGAGGAAAGGACCAAGGACCGTGCTTAGCACAATGCCTAAGGCACAGCAGGGGCTCAACAGATGTTTGCCTTGATGATGCTGATACACCTAAAGCATCTAACACACAACAAGCCTAGCGCATAATACTCAGTATTAGTGCAGGCCTCCTCTCAGAAGCCTCTAAATAGGAAGACCATTACCCATCACAGAAGCACAACAGGAGAAAAAGGACTGAGAAGAATGGTAACACACTACCATTACATGCCATGTGGCGTATATATCTGTTTAGGTTAGACAGACATCTCATGGAACCCAGTTTGGCTCAAGGCGTTTATACTGAGCTTGTGATGAAGGGGACTATTTAGGGTGAATTTATGTATCCCTCTTCTTCTAGGCAAATACCGAGCAGCCCAAGCTGAGCAGAGATGAGCAGCGGGGGCGAGGTGCCCTCTTGCAGGACATCTGCAAAGGGACCAAGCTGAAGAAGGTGACCAACGTTAATGATCGGAGTGCTCCCATCCTCGAGAGTGAGTCTAAGCATCATTTCCTAGTGAACTTCTGGGATCCTAGGTTTGCTTTGGAGACGTGGCTGGGCTGTCGTTTTTATTTTTGGGTCTTGAGTAGGAGAGTTTTGTCCTGGAATGTTCTTTGGCTGTCTTCCCATCTCTTCATCTGAATACCTTAGAAACTTCTGTCTGACCTTTGGGAAGCAGTTTCAGGGTTGAGACTTCTGTCATCGGTGCTTGTTAAGCTTGTTAGGGCACATCCTTGGCTGTTCTCTTCGGAGACCACCACAGTCCTCAAAACCACTCAGCTGAAGCCAATGACGATTTCATAATTGCCAAGAGTGACCCTTCTCAAAGGCTTCTGTAAAGTCAGTTCATACCCAGGTCCCTGAGCCATTAGCCCCCTCACTATCCCGAACCAAGATAGTATGAGGGCTGAGCGCAGAGAATTCTGGTGAACATGTCATTACCCAGGCTGGCCCTCAGGCCTAAACAAGGGAAGATTGGCTCCTTGTTCCTTTTGTTCTTTTTCTTTCATCATAGCGGAGAGTTTCATCTCTACATGAGGCTTTGGAATAGAAAGGCTTCACTTTTTTTTTTTTTTAAATGGAAAGGCAAAAGCAAGATTAGTTTGTTTGCAAATTAGAACCCAAGTAGAGGAGGAGTTTCTGCTCGGGATTAACTTGGTCACAGCTTGGAGCATATGAAATGAAAGCTCTGATGGTGTGCTTTCCAGAACCCAAGGGAAGCGGTGGTGGATGTGGCCCTGGAGCAGGCGCCCTGCAGCCCAAGGGAGGTCTCTTTCAGGGAGGAGTGCCGAAGCTCCGACCTGTGGGAGCCAAGGACGTCTCAGGTACCTGAAACAGACTTTTTATTAAAGATTTTATTTATTTTTAGGGGAAGGGAGGGAGAAAGAGAGGGACAGAAACAATGTGTGAGAGATACATCAGTTACCTCCCGCATACCCCCAACCAGGGACCTGGCCTGCAACCGAGGCATGTGCCCTGACTGGGAATTGAACTTTCTTAGACTATTTCTCAAGTGCATTAATTTCTTTCTGGTCCTAGGCTGTCCATCTGGGATTGAGGAGTGGTAGAGGTGGGAGGAAGGAGTGGGAACAGGGGTGGAGTTACAGAGTAGAATAAAGCAAAGGCATTAAATAAAAATGTATTCAACATATATCAACAGTATTTAATAGTCCCTGAGCCAGATTAAAAACCAGTACTGTACAAATGGTGTACTTTCCCTGCAGCTCTGCAGGGAGATGAGGCTGGATGAGTTAGAGATCTCACCAACATATCTCTAGCTTTGTTGACCCAGTGCTGTCTGGTCTGTTTGTAGAAAACCTAGCTTGTAAGCCAGCCCTGCAAGTCCCCAGTTCTCGAGCTGCTGCTCCAAGGCCTCCAGTGTCTACAGCCAGTGGGCGCCCTCAAGATGATACAGACAGCAGCCGAGCCTCACTCCCAGAATTGCCCCGGATGCAGAGACCTTCATTACCGGACCTCTCTCGGCCTCATACCACCAGCAGTACGGGCATGAAGCACAGCTCCTCTGCCCCTCCTCCGCCACCACCAGGGCGGCGTGCCAATGCACCCCCTACGTCTCTGCCTATGCACAGCAACAAAGCCCCAGCCTACAACAGAGAGAAACCCTTGCCACCCACACCTGGACAAAGGCTACACCCTGGTCGGGAGGGACCTCCTGCTCCACCCCCCGTCAAACCACCTCCTTCTCCTGTGACTGTCAGAATGGGACCAAGTGGCCAGTCTCTGGCTCCTCCTCCTCCGCCTTACCGCCAGCCTCCAGGGGTCCCCAATGGACCCTCCAGTCCCACGAATGAGTCAGCTCCTGAGCTGCCACAGAGACACAATTCTTTGCATAGGAAGACACCAGGGCCTGTCAGAGGCCTAGCACCTCCTCCACCCACTTCAGCCTCCCCTTCTTTACAGAGTAATAGGCCGCCTCCCCCAGCCCGAGACCCTCCCAGTCGGGGAGCAGGTAAGTGCCCGCAGCACCTTTTCTTCCTATCATACTGAGAGTTGAGCTTGCTTTTTCTCTTCACTCCTTTCCCCAAAGCTCTCCTTTAGTGATTGAAGATAAGAATTCCCTTACTCATTCAACAGGTTTGTTGAAAGCGCTTTTGTGTGTTAGACTCTATTGTTAGGGAAACAGCAATAAATAGAAAATGTAAGAAATACTTGTTCTCCTGTATAAATAAGCAAATAGTTATATATATATATATATATATATATATATATATATATATATATAGTCTGTTCAGAAGGTAGCCTGCCATATAGTCTGAGACATTTATTGAAGAAGATACTAGATACAAGAAACACTGTACGTAGGGCAGTGATGCCTTAGTCCCCTTCAAAGTAGGCACCTTAGGACCTCACAGTTCTCCCAGTCGCCATCAGCTTCCCTCACTGTCTTGTTGATGGTCTGAAATCTCTTCACTTTCAAAGGTGATTTTAGTTTTGGGAAAAGCCTAAAGTCACAGGACACCAAAGCTGGGCTGTAGGGGAGCTGAGCCACCTGGGTGATTTGATGTTTTGCAAGAAAAACTCTGCACAAGTCATGATGCATGAGCAGGTGTGTTGTGATGAAGCTGCCAATCACCATTTGTCCATAGCTATGGCCTTCTGAATCATCCAGTTTCCATGGAGGAATGGTCAAGCTTAATGCAAAGTTTGATGCAGATTCATTGCTTTATTCACTCAGTCATTTTGAGTGTGATGGCCACACAGTACACATACATGCTCACTCAATGGTGTCTATCACCCCCACTGACTAGTGCAATAAAGTTGGCATTGTTCACACATGTACATTCCAATTCACTCTCCTTGGCTATTAGGTTACATTGATATCATGCAAACTGTTCTCATTATATTAACAATGGTTGTTTTTTTTCTGGACAGACCTCATACACACACATGTGTATATACATACATACATATGTATGTGTGTAATACATAGTTGAGAAAGGGGATAGGATATAGTGGGGTGGGGTGGGGTTAGGGTCAAGGAAGGCCTTACTAATAAAGTGACAATTTGGCAAAGATCTGAAGACAGTGAGGGAACAAGTTAAGCAGGCATTGAGAAGAGCAGATACAAAGGCCCTGAGATGGAACTAGAATGAGTGAGGGGAAGAGTGGCAGAACACGGGGTCGGAAAGATTTCCGACCGGGAGAACATCGTAAGACTTGGTAAAGATGTCACTGGAGGGATTGGAGCAGGGAAGTAGCATTGATTTACCTTTTAAAAAGAGCACCAGCTTCTATGTTGAGAACAGACTGCTAGAGGACAAGTGGCAAAAGGAGACCTCATGTAAGGCTGAGAAACTGGGCAACTGGGTAAGATAGTGGGTTTGGGGGAAGAAAGGAATTTGGTTTTGGACAACTGAAGTTTGAGATGCTTATTAGACTTTCAGAAGGAAATAATTCATTGGTGATTGGCTGTCAAACTCTGAAGTTCAGGGAAGAGAGGTTGGGCTAGAGGGGGAAATTTGAATGATACTGAAAACCACATGCTGGGTAAGGTCACCTAGGGAGAGTATAAGGAAGAGGTCTAAGGCCTGGGGCCCTAATTAGAAATCAGATGAAGAATACCAATCAAGAAGCTGACAAAGTACCTCTATTGAGGAAGAAAGGAGGGAAGTGAAGACAGTGATGGAAAAACTCCCAAGACTGAGTGAACCAAAATTGCTGGGTATAGGAAGGCCCAAAAAAGCTGTCGTGGTCTCCCTCACTCTCGACTTGCAGTCATGCTATTTTGTGAAAAGAAAACACGGTCTCATCCACCTGTTCTAGGGTGTGTCCAGTGCTACCTCTAGGTCAATTAAGTTGGAGCCTGAGAATGACATTGGTTTCGGCAACATGGAAGTCATTGCTGGGGAGCCCAAACAGCACAGGGCCTTTTGGAGTGTTGTGGAGTGGTGGAGGGAAGGTGGAAGTGAGAGTCTAATTGGGGTGGGTCTGCAAATTGCAGGAATAGGAGTGGGATTAGAGATAACAATGTAGAAATCCCTTAAGGAGTTTTTCATAAAGGGGACTAGGGGTGCAGATCAATGGAATGGTTGCTAGAGGGGATTGAGAATTAGATTTTTTTCCTCCCAAGATGGGAGATATTTCGGTATCTGTTTGTCTGTCTGTGTACTGATGGAGTGATCTAGCAGAGAGGGGGAAAATTGCCTGTGTAATGCCCTCGAGGAGGCAAGAAGGAATGGAATCTGCTCCATAGGTAAGGGGTTGGCCTTAGATAAGAACACAAATAGTTTGCCCTGGCCCAGTAGCTCAGCTGGTTAGAGTGCTGCCCTGATATGCAAAGGTTGTAGGTTAACAAATCAATATTTCTCTCACCCCCTCCCTTTCTCGCTCTCTTAAAAAAAAGAACACAGATCTTCCATAGTAATAGGAGGGAAGGCAAAGCACGTAAGCATAGAAGCAAGTGGGTCAAGGGTGTGTGGTGATAGGAGCATGTGAAAAGTTTCTTCTTGCTTGCTTCTGTTTTCTTGGGGAAATAGAAAGCAAGGTGAGGGAGATTGGCGGGGAGAGAGAAAAGGGCATGAAATGGTCACCTGGAGGCTTGGGAGAGTGCATGGAGTAGGGAAGTGTGCTTAGGATAACCAGGAACCTGAAAGGCCCACTGAGCACTAGGGTCCATTTCAAGTGAGGTTAATCAGCTCATTGTGTTCTGCTGTGCATTGGCAGGTACTGAGTTGGAGCAGAGTTATATTGAACTAGGGATTAGCCTTTTGTAGACACGAGTAAGTGAGGCAAGGGAGTTAAGGGTGTGTAAGAGTGATTTTATCAATAGACCGAGGTCCTAAACTGGGTAAGAAGGGGCTTAGGAATCCTAGAAGAAATAGATGAGATTGTGTATTCTTTGTTTCTCCCAAAGATTTTATTTATTTATTTTTAGAAAAGGCAGGGTTCAGAGACACATCTGCGTCTGATAGGCTGCCTCTTGTATGCCCCCAACTCAAGACCTGGCCCGCAGCCCAGGGATGTGCCCTGACTGGGAATCAAACTGGTGACCTTTCAGTTCACAGGCCAGCACTCAATCTACTGAGCCACACCAGCCAGGGCAAGACTGTATTCTTATTACAAAATAGCTGACTGAAAGTAGAGAGGGAGGGAGACCATGACAGTTCTCTGGGGCTTTCTTAGACCCAGAAATTTTGACTGCCTTATCTTATATCATTGGACTTTGAGCCAGATCTTCCACAAAAGGCTTTTGAGCTTTTATTTTAAACAGTTCCTATAGGTGTATATAATTGATAAAGAAGTTATGTTATCAAGAAGCATGAATTAAAAGCCAATTAACCCGTGCTGCTGCTTGGCTAGGTACATAGAGATTGGCACTGTAGGAGCTGGCAGTTCAACACACAAGGTTATCAACCAGTAACCTTGTACTTTCCTGACTCCCTATCTCCCTGGCTTTAGACATAAGGATATAGTCCTAAGGTGGTCTTTGATTCTACAGAGTTTAGACTAAAAAATTTTTTTCACTTACAAATTTTTTTAAAAGACCCGTTGTCTGAGCAGACTTCATACCTTTCTAACTCCATCCAGGAAAAAAAGTGGAGAAAAATGTAATTTCTATGGATTAAACTTAGTAGTTTTAAATGTCTGCAGACTTCTTGCTTCCCACTTCTCTTTTTTTAATTTTTTGAAGATTTTATTTATTTATTTTTAGAGAGAGGGGACGGGAGGGAGAAAGAGAGGAAGAGAAACATTACTGTGTGGTTGCCTCTTGTGTGCCCCCTACTGGGGACCTGGCCTGCAACCCAGGCATATGCTCTAACTGGGAATTGAACTGGTGACCCTTTGGTTCCTGGGCTGGCACTCAGTCCACTGAGCCACCCAGCCAGGGCTCTTTATGGTTTGTTTAGAAATATGTGAAATAATCAACATTGGTTTTCTGTCACCAACTCTGAAGTCTGGCAGAGGCCTCAGCCTGCTTTGTATATCCGTAATCACTACCATGTGCTCCGTGTCTAGCTGGTGTCCTTTTGAGCTTAGCTCTTTCTGTCTCCCTTACTCTCCCTGGCTCAGCCCTAGGAGTAGGTACAAATTCTCAGGGTCCTAGGAAATAAGGGTTTTAGGGAAATAGTTTGAGGGTGACCTGAAAGAGCTTCAGTTTGGGCAGGTTTGGAGTAAAAGCAAGGTTCAGAGATCTCCTGGGAGGTGTTAAGATTTCCCTTTAATTTAATCGCCTCAAATGGCCCCCGTCCATACTAAGACCTTGGGAAGAGTGAGAGAGAGGTGACATTCTGAGCGCGTCTTATGGGAGGTAGAGCTAACACTCACTGGGCCTGCTCTGCTGGACTCCTCACCTATATACACCATCTCATTACTGTTTCATGCTTAACCGCGGTTACTGTACAGACGTTCTGGAATACTTTAGGAGGAATAGTAAGATACGCTCCTATTACTAAAACAGTGTTAAGCCAAGTAGTCTCTCCGTGTATTCTTTAGATAACAGTTATTTATTGGACAAGGCCTAGGTACCAAAGACATACTTCCATCCCCCTGGGTTATAAATGTTTTGAGAAGATGGATATATATATATATGTGTATATATATATATGTGTGTGTGGGGTACACACATACACATATATAAAATACTTGCAGTAGTTATAAAAAGTAGTGTGGGGTAGTGGAAAGAGCAGACATGTGCTGCGTCTGTTAGATCTGTGACCTCAGACAAATAATCTGAGTTCTAGTCTCCTCGTTTGTGAGATGGAAATGATACCATCATACTTTGCAGGGGTGGCTGCAAGAATTCCTTTTTTTTTTTTTGTCTTTAAGATTTTTGTTTTTAAAGCCCTGGCTGGTGTAGCTCAGTGGATTAAGCGTGGGCCTGCGAACCAGACAGTCGCGGTTCGATTCCCAGTCAGGGTACATACCGGGTGGCAGGCCGGTTCCCTGCAGGTCAGTTCCCAGCAGGGGACGCACGAAGGCAACCATACATTGATGTTTCTCTCTGTCCCTCCTTCCCTTCCCCTCTACAAATAAATAAATAAAATCTTTAAAAAAAAAGATTTTTGTTTTTAGAAAGGGGAAGGGATGGGGGAAGAGGGGGAGAGAAACGTTGGTGTGAGAGAGAGTGATTAGCTGCCTCTCACATGCCCCCAACTAAGGACCTGGCCTGCAACCCAGGCGCGCACCCTGACTGAAAATCAAACCAGAGACCTTCGGGTCTGCAGGCCAGCATTCAGTCCACTGAGCCACCCCAGCCAGTGTGTCTCAGGGGATTGAATGCTGGCCTGAGAACCAAAGTCACTGGTTCAATTCCCAATTAGGGCACATTCCTGGGTTTGTGGGCCAGGTCCCCAGTAGGGGGCTCGCAAGAGGCAACCACACGTTGAAGTTTCTCTCTCCCACCCTTCCACTCTGTCTAAAAATAAATAAATAAATAAATAGGAAGACAAAAAAATATCTTAAAAAAAAAAGAATTCTTTTTTTTTTTTAATATTTTATTTATTTATCTTTAGAGGGAAAGGGAAGGAGAGAGGGAGAGAAACATCAATGTATGGTTGCCTTTCGTGCATCCCCTGCTGGGAACTGGCCTGCAGGGAACCGGTCTGCAACCCAGGAATGTGCCCTGACTGGGAATCGAACCGCGACTATCTGGTTCACAGGCCCGTGCTCAATCCACTGAGCTACACCAGCCAGGGCAAGAATTCTTAAAGATTTAATGGCTGTAACTCACCTAGGACAGTGCCTAGAAGGTAGTGGATACCGAATCAGTAGTAATTGCTATTGTTAGGTAATGCAAAGCATAGAAGTAAACATATTAGACACCACTTAAACATATTAGAACCTGTTCCAGTGGTGTTTCCATTTCTTCAAACATGCTTTTGATGGTTCTTTCTACTTAGTGGCAAATTTTTGTCTCTTAAGCATGAATTTGGTTTTTGAAAGTGTCCAAAAGCCAGAATCAGACTTAGGTATGAGTGATTTTGTTATTGATGCAACCTCAGAGATGAAATGTGATCATCGTATAATAATATTTACGCATCTGCCTCATAAACCAGGTTTAAAGGCAATGTTGATAGATGTGTTCCCAGTTTCTGGGGGCAGTTGAGATTTATAACTTACGCAGATGTTCCTACTGTACATATTTTTTAAAGCACTCACTTTAGTCTAGACTACTAAGTGCTAAAATAAGCGACATACCCTACAGTGCCTTGGAAGACCAGAGAAGGAGAGGGGGTCGGAATGGAGTGGATTGCTTTGGGAGAGCCTTGAGAAGATTGAACTTGAGTTGAACCTTAAAGGATAAGTAGAATTTGGTAGTAAGGGAAGAGCGATGGCATTTCCAGGCATTGCCAGGGAGTCACAAGAGCAAAGCATACAGAATTTGGTTTATTCAGCAAAGATTGATTGAGTACCTACCATGTGCTGTATACATTGGCTGAGCTTGGGAATTTGAACTTGGATGCATCTCTGACTTTAAGGAATATACAGTATGCTGGGGAAGAGGCACATCTGATGAATAATTATAGTACAATACCTGTAGAGTAGAGTGGAAGAGAGATACAAGGCAACAGTGGGAGTGCATAAAAGGGGTCCCTAACCCAGCCTGGGAATCAAGAAAGGGGAAGGAGAAGGTGAGGTCAGGCTGACTGACCTGGTGGGTCACTGCGTGAGAAAGGGTAAGTGGGGGAAACCCAGTCCAGGTGGAAGCTAAGGATTTGAAACTTGATAGCGTAAGAAATGCAAAGCCCTTAGAAAAAGTTTGAGTGAGTGTTTCGGGGAGATTAGTGAGTTGGTGGTGTGCCGAATGGATTGTCAGGGCAAGAGATTAAAAGCAAGAGGAACATTTGGGAGGCTTTTTGCAGTAGAACAGGCTAAATATGAGAAAACCCTGAATTAGAATTGTGGAGGAAGACATGGAAAAGCAGGGGGGCCCTGGCTGGTGGATTGAGCGTGGGTCTGGGAAGCAAAGGCTCGAGGTTCGATTTCCAGTCAGGGCGCCTGCCTAGGTTGCAGGCCAGTTCCCAGCGGGGGACACATGAGAGGCAACCACACATTGATATTTCTCTCCCTCTCTCCTTCCCTTCCCCCCTCTCTGAAAATAAATAAATAAAATATTTTAAAAAAAAGAAAGAAAAGCAGGGGGAGATTCATTAAGAATAGGTAGATTTCTGACTTGTCTTGGGAAATGAGAAAGGGCCACACATTTATTCTGAACTTTAGTATCTGGAAGAACGGTGATGCTGTTAAAGACACGGGGATGGGAGGAGGGTGAGTGTGCTGTTTAACCTGACGCTCAGAGTCTCCCAGAGCTTCTACATCCAGACTTTTGGATTTTAATTGCAGCCCCTCCACCTCCACCACCCATGATCCGAAATGGTGCCAGGGATGCTCCCCCTCCACCACCACCACCATACCGACATGGGTCAGAACCTCTGAGCCGAGGAAAGCCCCCACCTCCGCCCTCCAGGACGCCAGCTGGGCCACCACCTCCTCCTCCGCCACCTTTGAGGAATGGCCACAGAGATTCTATTACCACTGTCCGATCTTTCTTGGGTAAGTAGCTAGCTGTTTTAGTCTCCTAGTTCCTGTGATGACTTACTCATTCCATGACTATGGTAGAATGGGAATTGTCACTTGGTATCCATTGGTCACAGCAGTTTTTTTCCTGCCTTCACCTCTGACTTCTAGGCCCTATCCATTGACATCCCTTTCCTTATGCAGATTCTAGGCATGGTTGCTTTGGGATAGATTGAAATACAATCCGCAAGCGTCATGCTAACTCTAAAGCCATATCTCGCTCCCCAAAGAGCATTATCTTTGGTTACGTTTTAAGCCAGAGACTTTATCTTCTTTAGGACTATTCAGACAGGAAGTACATGTTCTCCTGAGAAGGAGAGCTCCTTTCTAGCCCTTTAAAAACAAAACAAACTTTCTTTCCAACTTGGGCCTGGCACAATGGCTTCCACGAAGAAGGGTGAGAAGGGCCAGTCTGCCCTCAGTGTGGTGGTGACCAGAGACGACACCATCAGCACTCACGAGTGCATCCTTGGAGTGGCTTTCAAGAAGCGTGCCCCTCGAGCACTCGAAAGAGATCTGGAAGTCTGCCATGAAGAAGATGGGAACTCTCTGGATGTACTTACTGGGACAGGCTCAACAAAGCTGTCCGGACCAAAAGAATAAGGAGTGTCCCTTACCTTAGTGAGGATGAAGAGCCACCGAACAAGCTCTATACGTTGGTTACCTACATACTTGTCACCACTTTAAAAAAATCTACAAACATTAATGGGGTAGAGAACTAACTGCTGATGGTTGAATAAAGTTACACTGCTACACACACACACACACACACACACACACACTCTGAACATGTTGTTTATCTAGAAATCCAAAGCCACTAACTAGCTTTGTTACTTTGAGGAAGTTGCTTTACTTTTCTGGGTCCCACTTCCCTAATCTGAGAAACCAGGAGGTTGACTAGATAAGGAGCAAGTCAGTTAATTTTTCCAAGGTTATCAATGAGCCTTAGGCCCCACCTAAGATTTTTTTTTAAGGAAAATTTTATTTAGGAAGTCACAGAGGTAAAAAAAAAAAAGGTGAGCCAGCTGGAGTGTGTAGGCTCAGGAAACTAGTTACAGATGCAAAAGAAGGGCCCTTGGAATTTAGGAAAAAGAAAGGTAGAGAGAAGGCACCTCGGGGAAGAAGAAGGGAAAAGGCTCCTCACCCTGCTCCAAAGAGAGAATATGTGTGCCCTGGGGAATGAAGCAGGTGGGGAAAGGCGCCGGCATGCTTGGCGGGAGAAAGAGGGTGTTAGGTCTGGGATGCAGTCCCGAGCAGAGGTTGTCTAGAAGCTGTCAGTAGGCCCTCTGTTGAGGACTAGAAAGGTCTGTACAGTCCCTTTCAGGCCTAACACTGGGTTCTTTAGTGGTCGACTCTTCTCTGTCCTGGCTGTAGTGTACTCTGATTAGGTGGACCAGGGTTTTTGCTTTGAAGACAAATCCTTGCAATGTCATTAAGCTACTTGCAGGGAACTTTTGAGCCTTCTTGTAGAGGGGCCATATGGAAAGTGGGAGCAGGGGCCATGAGATAGCTGTCTCAGCTCTGAGGCAGAGCTAAGTGAGGGTAACCTGGGCCAGAAGGGAATTATCTGGTCAGCTCTCTCTCTAGGTGGTGACAAGTATTCCCATTTTAGGTTAATTTCTGTGGATTCAGTTCAGTTGGTTTTCCATGGTGACAGTCTCTAAGATGACTCTGTTAAAGAACTATGTTTCTTTCTCCTCCCATGCAAACAGCTGAGCTCCTTTCCTGTGCCCGATTTTGGGTGGAAATGTTCTAAAAACCTCTGTGCATACGAGGCACATTGAGTGATGCTGTTGCTGTTCTTGGGAACCTTGGTTTCACGGGGAAGGCAGGCCTTCACGTACGTCAGAGTGCACGGAGACCAGGAAGGGGAGGGTCAGAGGTGGTACAGAGGTGTGTGGGAGCATGAGGAAGGGTCAGCTGGTGTGAATTAATACTTTGTTCTTTTCGTAGATGATTTTGAGTCAAAGTATTCTTTCCATCCAGTAGAAGACTTTCCTGCTCCAGAAGAATATAAACACTTTCAGAGAGTATATCCCAGCAAAACAAACCGAGGTAAGAAGAGCTGTTATGAAAGCTTTTCCATAATTGCATAGAAAATAGAATTGCTGTGGGGGTTTTTTGTTGTTGTTGTTCAAATTTGCTTCCCCTTACCTGTGCTTTCTTTAAAAAATCGAAAAACATCCCTGGCTGGTATGGCTCAGTGGATTGATTGCCAGCCTCCAAACCAAAGGGTTGCTGGTTCAATTCCCAGTCAGGGCATATGCCTGGGTTGCAAGCCAGGTCCCCAGTAGGGGAGAGGCATGTGAGAGGCAACCACACAGTAATGTTTCTCTCCTTCCCTTCCCCCCTCTCTAAAAATAAAATCTTTAAAAAAAGTCAAAACCAAAACCAAAATCTAGTCCCCAGGTTTTATAGGTTAGCTTGAAGAGCCTGTCTCTCATTTTAGGAATGTTTGGGTTATTTGGTATCTGGCAGGTGACCTCGTGTTTGTGGTTTTTATTATGTTTATCAGCTGCCCGTGGAGCCCCACCTCTGCCACCCATTCTCAGGTGAAGCCTGGCTTGGTCCTGTTCCTCAGGAAAAGGATGGACCCTCTCCTCTTCTCAGATGGTCCCTTCCATTCCCCGGAAACCTGCATGAGAACTCCTGATGTGTTTCTCCAGTGCAGCCAACCTCTAGACTCCAAGCGTCCTCCCAGCTCACCTCCATCTACGCGTCTTGTCTTCTGGACTTGGTGATTGGACTCTCCGTATTGACAGTAGGGTCTCAAACCCTGCATCCATCCCTCCTCTAGCAATCCCTGCTAGCCAGATGAGGAAAAGCTTCCATGTCGCCTGCTTTCCTCGTGGGGAAAGGTGCCTTGTTGTGATGAACTAACTCATTATCGGGGCAGGGTGGGGAAGAGTGCTCCTCTCTCCTGCCCACTTTGGGGGAAGCTCGGCGGGTATATTTCACCATTTCGGAAGCTGACATGGCCAGGACTTAAGCAGGCCGAGGAGGTGGGGAGGGGGCATTTTTTAGTGAAACAAGAAAGGAGTTTGCAGAGAAGTGATCTGTTTTAAAGGTCAAGTTTGGAGAAAGGGCAAGAGAATGGGTCTGTTTTATTTTTAGGGGTATTTTGGTTTTGTTCTTACCCCACTCCATACCCTCACTCAAGGGATAAGTTGGATATAAACACTAAATACTAATCGGTTGAACTAAACATCTAATAAAAAGAGAGGGTAGAATAAACCGGGAGCCCTTTAGTGCTAGTCATTTCCTCTGCAGCAAAGGGACCAGGAGCCATGTGGGTCCCCAGGGACTCCCCGCCCCATTCCTCAGGGTGCTGAGGCTGGGGGATGTGTTTCCTCCCCCCACCACTCAGACCCTGAGGAGAAAAGTCACTTTTGTTCATTCCAGATAGGAAGATAGGGCCAGGGTCTTGGCCTTAATTAACCTTGACCTTGAGTCCACATCAGTCTTTCCTGACTGGCCCCAAAAGACTCTGGCCCTTCAGTCCTGTCCAGAAACTTCAGCCCCTGTTGGGTGCTCTATGACGACGACGAAGGGAAGGGTGAAGCTTGTGCTGGGGTTCACAGCCTGCTGGCTGAACAGCCTCTTCCTCTTCTCACCGCCCCTGCCTTTCCAAGACTTCAGGGGTTAACAGCAGAGTAGAGTAGCGTGAGGAAGTTTATGGGTGTAGTCAAAGATTCCTCTGTGCCAAGAAGCACAAAGACTTCGGCGAGGCGTGTCTCGGCCCAGCTGATCTTTGGCAGCCAGCAACAGGTTGTTTGTTCATCTTCCAGGCCCTAGTTAAAGGACGGGGAGAAAATGGAGGTTCCCAACCCAGAGAGGAACTGAGCCTGGCTGGCAGGACAGGGGTTTCCCCTTCTCAGACGGCAGAGCAGGGCTCCTGGGCTACATGCACAGGCGGCGTGGTTTGCCACAGCGCTGGCCACATGCAGAGGCTACTCAAAGCTTGGAGTGAGAGCAGGGAGGCCATGGTGCTTCCTTGAAGTGGTTGGGAAAAGTCAGTTTAAAAATTTCACCAGATACATCACAGGCGTGAACTACCTTAGGGACCTCTCCAGTTTATTGGATCACAGAGTAAGAATCTGCATGGTGCTGGGTGAAACCCAAGTCTCTTCAGTTCTAGAAGAGAGGGGGCTCAGCCTGGGTTATTTGTGTGGGGGCTGCTATCCTCTGTCATCCCCTGGACCACACTGACTCCTGGGACAAAATGAGTAGGTCTGTCATCAAACTTTTTCTAATCATTATCATTTGCAAAACTGTTAGTAGTTACCTCCCATCAGTACCCCTGGCATCCTGAAGTGAACGGAGCCAAGAGAGGGAGCACTGGCGGAGGGAAAAGGAGAGAGGACAAGAGTGGGTATTGCAGCAGAGTTCCAGGGCAGATGCTGACCAGTTATACAACTTGGACTGTGAAGTCTTCCCATTTGTTCTTGAAATGGGAGTTGATGCCTTTTGTACAGTGTTGTCAAAGTGTATTTTTCCCCTTTCCTCAAACATACAGCATCAAAATAAGTATCACAAGTGAAAGCCAAACCCCCAGCTTTTCACTGGGGCTGTTACCTTCCCCCCATGACCTGCTGCTGCCCCTCATCTTCCCCAGCATTTGGACTGTGTCACATGGGTATTGCGGTGTTTTTATTTTCTTGGCCTCGTGAAAAGAGGCCTGGGTTAGATCTAGTCAGATGCATTTTCTTCAGCGCATGTGGGTGACACAGTACTTATTTAAATATCTTTGCCTTATACATTATTTGGTCCCTCTATTAGGAACAGATTTATTATCATGTATATTTACTATCGAAGAATGGGAATGTGATCTTCATAATTATTGATCTATTTTGTATGTTGTAAAAAGCTTGTAATATAGATTTAAGGCAGGCTGGCTGCAAGAGCACTGGAACATTCTCATCTTTTAAACTGTTCTTTTTATCTGCTTCTGGGAATGTCGACTCTGCAGCGGAAGATTGGGTGGTCTCATGTTGAGGCTGTTGCCCAGTCACATTAATCCTCTCACCCTCTCCCAGAAGGAGGAGGCATTGCCCAGCTAAGCATCAGGAAGCTGCGTTAAAAGCCCTTGTGTGGGTTTGGTTCTATGATGTTTTCTCTAGTGGGGAAAAGTTAATACTGTAGTTGTTTCTTACCGCCCTTTCTGGGGAGCAGAGCAGTGGCCTCCAGGTTTTTAAGCCAGCTAGATGCCCCTCTTCGACCCTTCTCTGGTCACCGAGCCTGGATCAAAGCACTTGATGCTCCAGGTGTGGTTGTCTCTGTCATGGGGGTCTCCTCCCACGGCAGAGCCCCATCGTTTTCACAGCCCAGGCCCGCAAGACAGCGTCTATGGCTGCCCTACCTAGTGGATGTGAAGCTGGCTGCTGTCCCCGGAAACTCATCCCAGCCCTCCCAGCTGGCAAAGGCAAGGAGACTAGCTACTGGCCATGGCCCTGGGGGCACCTCCTCACCCCACGGCTTTCCCACTTGAAACCCAGATTTACCTCCAGGGAGAGATGAGAAAAAATTGTAAATAGACTTGCAACAGAGCAACTCAGGTTGGGGTGTGTTTTAATTCTCCTGATCACTTGAAATAATCTGTAGGCTGAGTGCTTAGGGGAGGGGGGAGAAGTGTGACTCCAGGGTCCTCTGTGAAGCTCTGGGGGTGGAGTACAGGGCACCCGAGGCCCTCTAATGGCACTGCACGGAGCTGTCTGTCCTTCTGGAAGCCCAACCTGCAATCAAGAGCAAATCAAGATTCTTCACATTTCAGTCGTTTCTTTCCATATTATGTCTCGGTCCCCAGCTGTGTAGTCAGGGTAGCTTTCTGTAAGCCACCCTAATTTAGGGGCTGAAAGACATTCTAACTCGACCTTCAAGACTCATCAAAATGAAACAAAATTACAGCCACCATCGGAATATATACACAAATAAAAAAGGATAACTGTTTGACTGAAGGAAAGGTTTGGTTCCATTCAACTCCACGTTCATTGTGCCTTTACTTGTGTTAGATTTCTGTGCTTTCTTCCTCTCTCCCTCTTTGAAGCAATTAAAATCTTCCTTGATAATGGCTGTTTCCTTCTTTCTACTCCTGGGTCCAACATCTTAGTGGGTTCCCTAATTGTCTTAAATCTCCCTCCACTGGCGGTAGAGGGGCAGGGGCAAGCCTGCTTGTCTCATACCTGTCTTGTATCATTTCCCAAGAAAAGCAGCATGGAAGTTGTAGTCAACACTGAATAAAAAACTAGAAATGACGTGTGAGTGTGTGTGTGTGTGTGTGTGTGTGTGCGTGTGTGTGTGTCCGTCCCCATCTTCGTCTGCATGTGGATCAATTTCTTTAAAGGAAAATAATTTATTGTATGACTTGTTTTGCAGTTATATTCTGATTACAATGCTCCCTCTCCCAATTAGCATTGATTTTTTTCCCAGCCCCCTCAAAAATACATCATCTGGTCTCAGGTTGGATTATTTGGTACACTTGTTTCTTCTGGATGCCATGCAGTTTAATTAAACCATGCTTCAAAACAAAAACTAAAAGTCGAAAACTGTGTACTCTTGTCTGGAATACCGCCTCATGTAGTGACAGAGAGGGGAGAAGCTCCGTTGCCTCCTATTCCAGATTGTGTGGTGGTTTGAACCCAGGTCGTCTGAGAAGGTTGATACATTGACTTGGGCAGAAGCATCTGCAGCCTCTTACGGGTCTTCTCTCCTCCCCTCCGGCTGTACTTTGAAAATGGCAGTTCTAGGTAGCCGTGCTGACTGGGTGACTCTGATAGACTTGGTCACTATTTCTATTTGCCACCTAACTCCCCTTCACTTGTGATTTCAGGAAACCCAGGACACCTTCTGGCCTTGTGTCCTGTCTTTATGTCCCTTATGATTCTTTCTGCCTGGGCTGCACCGCACATTCTCTCACTGAGGTGGGGAAGGGCGGGCGGGGCAGAGCAGGCAGACTCCGTGCGTCTGTTTTTATGTGGGCGTTTGCTGTTTTTCTTCACTGCTTTTTAAGTTGAAGTCTTACCTGCTTTCTTGAACTTTGACATTAGGTGTAAAAATTAAGCCAGACGTTCTCTGCTTACTATGGTCAGCTGACTAATCACCACAAAGACTTAATGAGCTTAACTTGCACTTTCCTCACTAGCAAAGGTCTTGAAACTGTTTCCCATACTGATTTATAGTGGGTGTGTGTATGACTCACTCACGTAATTGAGATATCAAAACCTATGGGGGAGGGAGGGAGGGAGGACGGGAAAGGGGCCCTTTTTCATCCATATTTGCCAAATCGGTTGAATTCCTGATTATTTGACCCATCATTGTTATTAATATGATTAATAAACTACCTATTTATTGATGTAATTGTTCCTCCTGTGACTTTCAATAGCCCTCAAATGGAGCTTGCTGAAATGTCCCTCCACTTCTAATGCTATAAAGTATAAGCTTTCTCCATTCTATCGGGATGGTATTGCTAGTGTGTGCATGTGTGTGTGTGTGTGTGTGTGTGTGTTTACACTCGTGCAACAGGATGCTGAACAGGTCCTTCCACTTGCAATTTGACCCCCATGGTGGGGGTTTCCCCCATGACACTGTATAAATTAGCAGATGATAAAGACAATAGTGCGCCCACTTTAATCATTACTGAGAACTGCTGCTTGCTGTGAATGTGCCTGTTAAGTATTTTCTGGCTCAACCCAGCCACAAACTCATGCACTGCAAAGCTCCTGTCTGACTTCCTATTATTCTGCAAAGGTAGGAGAACTAAAATATCAACCTTAGAATCCTAACCACCCCAGAGGATAACTATGGGGGAAATATGCTTCACCTCTGACATCACTGGAGCCCAGTCTGGATCATTTTTATACATAATTGAGTTTGTTCTCCACTTCTAGGTTTAGGTGTGTGAGATTTAAAGGACTATATGGTGTCTGTCCACAGTGTTCATGAAAAAGGTGGATACCCAATTTGCAGGAATGTCTTGTCCGTTCAGCAAGCATTTATTGCGTACTTTTTACTCTGTGTTCAGCATCTACATTATGAAGATGACTAGGACCAGGGCCTTTGCTTCCAAGGAGCGCCAAGTCTAGAAGATTTCAGGACAGCTACCAGGAGAAAACTATGCAGGGTATTAAAAGGCTTTATGGTAATTAGCCAGGGAAGGAGGATGGTGAGCAGTGTTCACTCACCGTCCTCAGTTGTGTAGACAGAGGAAATAGCAAGGACAGGCACAGAAGCAAGAAAACAGCCTGGTGGTAAGTATGTCAGGTTACTGGAATATTGGGAAGGGAAAGCTTCAAGTAGGTAACGTTTTAGAGACTTCAATCCTGACATTCTGTGATTCTCTGCCTGCCTCTACAGTGGTCATTCACTCTCACAGACTGTTTTTGGACCAGTGCTATATTTGCTAGAAGAGTATTTTCATAGGCACCAATTTGCATGTTAAGTACTCATGGTTTCCTCTGTTCCCTCTCTGCCTCTGTAAGTGAGAGAGGTTGTTCACCACCATCCCTTAAAGCTGACTGGGCACATGTTAACCATTTCATGTTACTAAGAATAATTTTTAGGTGTCCAGGTTATAAAAATAAACATGAACAGTATAGGTTGCTTCCTAGATTCTATTGTCCTATTAAGAGACCAGAAATACCATCTGGTTGAAAGCTTGCATTCTAGGATAACACTTCTTACATTCATGGCTGCCTGATCTCTTCACTCTTTTGGTTTTGAGCTTCTAGAAAGCCTTCCCAAAATGTGCTTCTTCAGCATCTCTCCCTATTTGGAAGGCCACTTTAGAAATCGCATCTAATTCTCCCCTGAGTTTGAGTGGCCAAGTTTGATCTCCTGCCAGACTTCCTGAGTTCAAATTCCAGCTCTTCCTCTTCCTAGTTGTGTGACCTTGGGAAAATTTACTCAACCCCCTCTATTTGTATTTCCTCATTTGTAAAATGGGAATAATACCAACTTCATGGGATGCTTATGAGAATTGATGAGGTGATACCGGTAAAATGCTTGGGCTCAGTCCCTGGAATACACTTAAGCACTCAGTATTGGCTTTTATTTACTATATGAACTAACTACAATGAGCAGGTGATTGTAATATTGTTTTCCTATTTCTCAGCTTTATTGCTCTATTTGATTTGATATTGAAAGATGGAAGGTAAATGCCTACCATCACCTAGAATTGGGTTTCAGCCTTTAATGAAACCTGAGGCTTAGCTAGGTTATTAGCTTTGGAAGCTGGCCTGTAAATTACTGCTTTAATTTATATTTTTCATTAAAAGCTCAGCTTGCCTCTTCTGTAGCAGTCTTCTCTGGCCCTGGAACCCTAGTGTTTAGCCATAAAAAAAGATTTTAAAATTAAGGAGTCATAATTCATTCCATTCCCCACAGTGTTGATTAATGGGATTAATGATAAGAAGGTACACAAACTATATTCTTTACCTTTAACAAAATAAAAGCAAAGGCCTGGCTTTGTTTCTCCCCTTTGAAATACAAATAAAGGGATACTGTAATAAGGTGTGGAGTATTTCTCTATGCCTGTGTAGAGCTTTACAAAAAATCATTGGTTTGGGTGTTAGGAAACCTTCAACAAGATTCTGTGACCTGTAATGAATCCTCTGCGCCTTTCCTTTGTGGCTTGCAGGGTTGAGTGTTAGAGAGGAATGCCTAGCATCATACCTGACACCCAGAACCACCTCCCAAATGGTAGGCATTATATAATTGCTCTGTAAAAGTGTCTCCCATTAGGATAATGAAAATAGGTAAATGCAGCAGTTAGAAGGGGCAGCCAAATCTTTACAACTCCAAGAGAAAGGCGTAGAAATAAGGGTCTCATGAGGCAAAGACTACATCTCCCGCCAGGCTTTGCGCACAGTTCTTACCCAGAGCCGCTTCCGCCGCTACCCTGTGTCTTTCCCCAGTGGACCCGGATGTAGCTGGGCAATTGAGAGTGGGCGTGGCTCACGAGAGCGCAGGGACTTGGGGCTCTCTTACTGGCTGTGGAGTGGACCAGAAGAGTAAGGTGGGCGTTGGCCAAGACGCGCGGCGCTCTTACGACAGCCAATCAGAAATCTGGCCGGGCTTTGGCGGGAGACCGGAAAGCTAAAACTGTGCAGATTTGGCGCGAGCGCGTCTGGGTTTTACTGCTGTTGGTTTGTTCAGGAACTTGTTTGAGATAATACCTGAAGCCTTGTGCGAGAGAGGTGAGAAGGATCCGGTCGTGAGGCGACGCGGCCTTGTGGCGTGGCTAGGATGGGATTGCACCGGGAGGTCTGGGGTCAAGGGAAGTAGCGGAATTGGGTAGCAAGACCCGCAGGTACCGAGGACGCCCGAGGTGAAGTGAGTGGAGGAGAGCTCAGCTATCGGGAGATCCGGTCCGGTAGGGGAAGGGAAACGTGCGTCCTTGGAGTGGTCTGGCGGCTGCGCTTACGTGAAGGAGCTGAATGTTGTAGGACGAGCTGTTCCGGCGAGGGGTTGAGAGTTGTGTAGAGTGAGGTCTGGGGGGATGGGGGCTGTAAACGTGGGAGGTTGCTGGGCGAAGCTGGTGACAAAGCTATACCCGAACCTGGGGTGACTGAATTTAGAAGTAGTTAGAAATCACTCAAGATAAACTTAACTGCATCGCTCAAGTGAGAAAGAACTTGGAGACAGAGTGCCTGGTTTGCTGGAACTTTGGCCTCTGTGCCTCTCAGTTTTCTCACTTTGAAGATCATTTTAATCACATTAACTCCTCGAAGGTAGCTGTAAAACTTAGATGAAGCAGTACCCAAAATAAATATTTACAACAGCTTCTTTTTTTTTAACATTTTATTTATTTTTTGAGAAAGGGGAAGGGAAGGAGAAAGTGGGAGAGAAATATCAATGTACGGTTGCCTCTTATTTGTCCCCTGCGGGGAACTGGCCTGCAACCCAGGCATGTGCCCTGACTGGGAATCGAACCGCGATACTCTGGTTCGCAGGCCCACGCTCAATCCACTGAGCTACGCCAGCCAGGGCCTACAACAGATTCTTAAACGTAGTTGATAGACAGTTTTCACCATTACTGCGTAGATTTGGATGGGAAGTAGAACTGAATGAA